GGTCCCTGAGGGTCATTGGGGTTATTGGCCCAGTGCCAATCCTGGCAGGCTGCAGCTGTGCAGTAAGCTTCCTTTTCTTCACGCAGCCCTATATGGGCTCAATTCGCCCATATGACCCGTCTGAGACCCACTCTCCCTAGAATCCTCTTGGTCCAAGGCTTCTAGGCCCTGGTCACAGTTCCACCCCAAAGACCTGTCTGGCTCTGAACTCAAATGACCTATCCAGATCTTGCCCAGGGTAGAGGGGGGCAGAGGCAGGCAGCTTTCTGTGAGTTTGAGGCCAGGCTGGTCTACAGAGGGAGTTCCAAGATAGCCAAGACAACACAGAGAAATCCTGTCTCAAAAAAACAAAACAAAACAAAACAAGACAAACTGAAAATGCGAATGAGGAATACACACCAACAGTGCCCGCATACAGACTGTGGCTACTCCAAACCACTGCATGGAGATGGCAGGACAATGAGCCACTCCTGTTCTGCTCTCCCTGTGGATGGCACCTACCTGGCCTTCATGTCTCAGATAGTCCTGTCTCCCCATACACTTGTCTTCTGAAAGCATACACCAGGGACCAGCAAGATGGTTCAGTGAACAAAGACGCCCATTCCCAAGCCTGAGGACCTGAGTTTGATCCCCATGACCAGCTCTGGACCGTTGTCCTCTAACCTCAACAAACCCCCTGCAGTCCATGCACATGCATGTGCACACAAATGAACACACACACACAAATACATCAAATGTAATACAAATTTCTAAAAACTAAAAAATAAACCAAAAGTCAAGCAGAACTCATCACATCCTGTTGAAAACACACAAGACAAAGTCTGCCTGCCCTCAAAAGGCCACTTTCAGCAGGGTGTGGTGGCTCACTTATTTAATCCCAGCACTCGGGAGGCAGAGGCAGGGGGATCTAGTTTGAGGACAGCCTGGTCTATATAAAAAGACCCTGTCACAGGAACAAAAACAAACAAAGACTACTTCCCACTGTCCCTGGATTAGAGGTGGCCCAGCTGGAGAGATAGAAAAAAGGAACAAGCTGGGCAGGGCTCATGAGGGTTGGTACTGCTTGGGAGAACCAGAGGGGATTGAAGACCTGGCATGTCAGATGGAGTTGCTTCCTGCGGTGGGCAGCCCCTGGCCTGGCACAGGTCCCACTAATACACTCAAACACATGCACTGAGGAAATGTGTATGCATAAACACGAACATATCTGTACCACAGATACACACATTTGCACATGCTCATATAGAAACATGAACACATGAATTTACATGTACAAGCACATGAACAAGTAAACACATACTTACCCACATAATACCCACAGATAAACACATATACATACAACATACACATAGTATATGAGTTTGCTTCCTGTTGCTGTGATAAAACACTCCAACCAAGGGGAGGTGGTGGTGTTGGTTTTTTACTCTTTTGGGGGATCTGCCACCCAGCTACCAAATAAATCACATGTGGAGGCTTATTCTTCATTATGAATGCCTGCCCTTAGCTTGGCTTGTTGCTAGTCAGCTTTCCTTAACTTTACATTACCCCTTCTACCTTATACCTCTGGGCTTTTTCCTTTTCTTCCTTCTGTAATCTTAATTTCACACTTACTCCATGGCTGGCTGTGTAGCTGGGTGGCTGGCCCCTGATGTCCTCCTCCTTCACCTCTCGTTCCTTCATCATTTTTCCCCCCGGATTTCTCCTTCTATAGATTCTCTCTGCCTGCCAGCCCCACCTATCCTTTCTCCTGCCTCACTATTGACCTTTCAGCTCTTGGTTAGACCAATCAGGTTATTTAGACAGGCACAGGAAAACAGCTTCACAGAGTTAAACAAATGTGTTACAAAAAGGAACACACCTTAAAATAATATTCTACAACAGGAAGGAAAGGATTATCTGACTTATATTTTACAGTTCATCTTTGAAGGAAGTCAGCATAGGAATTCAAGCAAGAATGGTAGCAGACACCATAGAGGAAGGCTGCTTCCTGGCTTGTTCCCTGGCTCACTCCCTAGCCTGTACTCCCATAGCTTTCTGACACAGCCCAAACACACCTAAGGATGCCCAGGGATGACACCGCCCACAGAGGGCTGGGCCTTCCCACATCAACCATCATTCAAAGCAATGGCCCCACAGACCAACCTAACCTAGTCAATTTGAGGTTCCCCTGTCTCAGGTGGCTCTAGGTTGTGTCAGGCTGACAGCTGAGGTGAACGAGGACACATACATATATACTTGGCTCTCCACTCCTTGGAGCCTCCCACTATACCAGTAAGGACATGGACTCGTGATCAGCAAAGGAGTTCAGTCAGAGCTCAAAGTGTGCCCAAAGCCCTATCCACCCTCTAACTGATGAACTGGTTCTGGAATTTTGTCAACACAAGACAACGTTGCCCTTTTATAAGAATCTAAGCTTCTAGTTTTGTGCAGTGGCAACATTTCAGGGACACAAGGAATCACCTTCAGGGTGGGGCAGAGACCTCTTTTTCATCCCTAGAACCTGCTATAGGAAAAACACTTAGTCCCGGATGCTAATTCATACTTATTGCAGAGACTTCAGGAAAAATCCCAGGCCAGACACAGGGATGCATGCATGGGTGCATGTGCATATAGACAGACACACACACACACAGAGAGAGAGAGA